AAACAACACAATATTTAAGCCGAAGCTCATTGCTAAAATCCGAGTTGTTGCTCTGTAATCCAACATTCAATCATCTTTTATTGGAAAGGTACCAGATATAGCCTCTGGCAAACCTTTCACCAAAACCTGAATTTATACCGGATCAAATTCCGGAATCACAAAAAAAACAAGGGACTTTGTCTAATTGGTTCCAGCATCATCCTACTGGCAGCCACTCAAAACATCATTTAGTCTCTCATAATGGTGTCGGATAAGCCTCCGGCTAGCCTTGAAAACCCCAATTGGTTGGCACATCCATCAATCTAAAAAAAAATGAGTCAGGCTGTAACCCCCTGACGGGTCTTTTCAAAATAAACAATCTTCTGGGCGGTCAAGACAAAAATCTGAACCAACCATTAATGAGAGAAACCATTCGTCGAAAGTCCTTGTCCAGGTTTTGTACCCCATTCCAATTACGAGTCATCACGCATGATCTTCCTACATGCCTTGTGATATGCGTCGAGGAGTGGTGTAATCCTCAAGGGATAGCATCTCGACGTCAAGCCCCGCTTTAGACTCGAGCCTCACCACATTCCCTCCGATTCCAGTGTCAAGTTTTTATCAGTCTCTTACTTGTAAGACTGAACTACCCTTTCTCCATGACCTAGGTTGGTCAGACCCGATCATAGAGGCGAGGCGACCCCATCCGTCACAGGGCAAAGGTGACCACTCCTCCCCCCATGGCGAATGACAATCGTCACCCTCCCAAGCAAGATTCCAACAATCACAATAACACCTTTCTCCCTTTCAATGATAGTGTAGTCATCCTCCTCAAAAATGAAAATGACAACATCCCAATATTGACCAGGAACACAGTTCCGGCGTGGGCCTCACTACCATCTACGGAGCTCACTGCATCAGGACTCATCATTATATGATAACTGAACTAACATTACAAGAAGGTTTTAGGCCACGATAAGTAATTGCGGTATATGTCTTCACGAATAACACATAGTGTTACCCTATAAGTCATATAATTCAAATTACATATTTTTATCCTAGAACCTTTCACAACAATAACATATATTTTTATAGAGAGTTCCATAACATTCCAGTCAAAACATCCATAAATTGCATTGCATTGCATTTTATCAAAAATGTGATATACAACCATTCAAAACTAGAAGTCGAAAGATCATCAAGCCATTCGAAAAAAATCTCACAACAATTCTACGAACAGAAGTCGCAGGAAATTATTAATTATTATAAAACAGAAAACCAAATCCAATCCCAAAGTTCAAGTTACTTCCTCTCCCTTATCCGACCTTAGATACAAGTCAGTCATTAATGATCCCAAATATGAAAAGAATTAAGAGAAAAAAAGTCATGTCTCTTACCACCTTTTAGCAAGGTTTATATCAACTAAAACAAATCCCTTTATTAAACCCTTGGAATGAACTTCCTCAGATGTGATCCCGATACCCAATTTCAACCTGGACTGAACTTCCTCAGATGTGATCCCGATACCCAATTTCGACCTCGAGCCCCATCCAATTCCTCGATCTCATAAGCCCCATGCTCAGACTTTCTAACAATACGATAGGGCCCCAACCATCGACTATCTAATTTGTGAGACCACTGTTTCTCCAAGGACGAATCATAAAGAAGCACAATATCTCCAACTTCCAAAGGTTGCTTACGAACACGAGGCCCTTTATCCCATCTTTCCTTGTCTACCTGCCTGCTTTCTGCTGTAGAAGTAGCGGCTTCCTCAACCCTCTCTTCGGTCACCATCACCTGCCTTGCCCTTAATTCTAACAACTCTTCTGTTGAAAATTTCATTTCCACATCCTGCTTCCGCCAAGTGGTTAAGAAACTTTCAATTGGAAAGGTTGCATGTCGTCCAAACCATAAGGTGACCGGTGCATATCCAGTTGTTCGCTTAATAGTGACATTCTCAACAAAGAATGTCGTTCTCAGATATATAAGTCATCTCGATGGATCATCTGCACACCATTTTGCTAATAAATTCGTCAGAGTAGCATGTCCACGCTCGATTGGCGCATTAGCCTGGGGATGTGCTCTTGTAGTATAGCTAAAATTCACACCAAGCTTTTTCAAAAGTGTCTGCACTTCCCTAGCCCGAAACTCACCGCCTCGATCCATGACAAACTCCCGGATGAATGGGTATCGAAGATAATATTCTTCAATGCATTCGGCCAAAACCTGCCCAGTACGTTCGCGAATGGCACAACCATCAACGAACCCAGGTTGTCTCTTGCATCAAAGATATATATGTACCTATTAATGCCTGACGGCATAACCAGTAAATCAAGATGTACGACTGCTCCGGGCTCCGCTACATAGCGTGGATTAAGGGGTTCAACAAAACGTAAATTAGATCGTCTTTGGCAAGGAAGGCAAAATTTACAAAAGTCAATTACCATCTTGCTCATTCCTTCCCAAAAGTAAAGATGCTGAATCTTTTTCAAGGTGACTCGCACTGATCTATGTCCGCCTGCGACCCCATCATGCAAGACGGCAATCACATCAAGCTGCCGTGCAATCCCACATACTACTCTCTTTGGAATACCATCATTGGATTTCTTAAAAAGATGATCATATCGTACGATAAAATCCTCACACTTCTGTCGAACAATTGGATCCACCTCTTCTTCTCTCAACTCACCATTCAACCACATTCCCATCAATTTATATTCCCCGTCATATTCCCTTTCTCTGAAAGCTTCCTTAACTTCACTGCTTTCTCCTTCTTCATTTAGCATTCTCAGACGGTCTTCATGAATCAAGAAATTTACAAGGAAAGACAACCTCCCAACAACGTTAAAAATTTCATTAGTCCTCTCATATCCATGCTCAATCGTCAGTGGCTCATTGATAAGCTCGACTCTATCAGATAAAGCCAAGCTCATCATTTGCTCTGAAGTTCTTTCACCCCATGGGTCTTCCTCAATGAAAGGCTCCCCCATCACTAACTCTGATCGTACATGATGGAAACTGGGAGCATTCCAAATGGTTTTCCCATGACGGGTTGTTGCATCCTCCAAATAGTTGTATGAGTTAATACTCAATTGCAACTCCTCTCCTTCCAAGAACCCATCAACAGGGACTGAATCTTCAGCCTGATCAGTCGATGAATCCCAATCAATACGACTCAATCCATCTGCCCGATTCTGAGTACCTGAGATACGTTCAATTTCGAAATTGAACATCCAAATATATATCAGCCATCGAGCGATGGTTGGATCAGAAGGAGAGTAGTTCTTCAACGATTGAGCCAGAGCTGTGGGATCAACTCGAAGAATAAATCGTCGGTCAAACACATAATTTCTAACAATACGTAGACAGTGAAGTACAACGAGAGTTTCCTTTTTGAATTGGGAGTAGTTGCGTTCAACGGCATTCAAAGTTCTACTTTCAAATCTCAAAGGTCGCTCTCGTCCTTCCTCATCTTTCTGAATCAGGACCCCACCCAAGGCTATGGGACCTGCATCAGTCTCGATGACGAAAGGGCGCCGCACCTCATCATCAAAATAAGGAACTCCCAAAATCAGGCCGCCTTCTCCGAACTCAGCCTTAATATCCTCTACAGCCGCTTGCTGCCTTGCTCCCCATTCCCACATCTGATTTTTGCGTACTAATTTCCGCAAATGTTCCACCCTCGTTGCGAACCTGCGGATAAAAATACGCCAAAATCCGCAAGTTCCAAGGAAGCTCCGGACGTCGGTAACAGATTTCAAGGGAGTCGGCCATTCCAAGATTTTGTTGGTTTTCTTAGCATCTGGTTGACGACCCTTTTCATCACAAAGAAATCCCAAAATTACCGCTTTCCTCATTCCATGCCTCGATTTCACCCCACTTGCTGTGAGGTTATACTCCTTCAATTTTCTCAGGACCTTTTCCACATTCTTAATGTGTTCCCATACGAACTTTCGAATGTCGGGTAACACTTTAGTCTCATCTTTGACACGAGGTCCTGGGATGACCAAATCATCAATATATGGAGAGGTCACGTCCGGACAAAGCGGCTTCATGACCCTCATCATATATCTCTGTACGATTGCTACGACATTCGTCCAACCTTGTGGTGCCGCGCACATATGAAGCAGTCCCCGAGGCGTGTGCATCGCCGTCATAGGCCGATCTGCTGTATACAGCGGGAACTGATCATACCTTGAATACAAATCGATCAGGGTGATGATGGGTCTGCCCGCACAAGATTCTGAGAGTTGGTCTGCGTTCGGAAGTCCGCCCGCATCACGAACCGTCACAGAATTTAATTTCTGCAGATCCTGAACCCATCGCAGAACTCCGTTCGGCTTAATAAAGCAGAACCAAGGAGACGCATACGGCACATACGAATAATCAGCCACTTTGGTCTGAATCTTTCCATCGAGATAATCAACAACCTTTCGATGGTCTTCTGGATTCGGATATCGTGGACCCCTTACATTTCACGGCTGATGTGGTACCGTATGTATCCTGATCATTGGAACCATATCGACGTCTAATCTTCCGCGCTCATCGTCATCAAAGACATAAGCCAGATGAGTCCCCTTCATGACGTCAATGAAGAAATTGGTTTCTTCCTTAGTAAGAACCCCATCTTCCCCAATGATCATCTCCTTGATTCTATCCTCTGTTAACCGACATGGTCCTCTTTCACCCTCTTTTCTCATTGTTCTGATCCACTCCCGTTCCTCGTTAAAATACACTTCTTTCTCCTGAGTGATCAGAACGGGTACTGGCCGAGCTTTCTCGCCTACTTTCTTGTATTTCCTTTTTGACCCAACACTGAGCCTCCTTCCTCTAAAAAAGGCGCTTGCCTAACCAATGGCAAGGACTCTTCCATATGCGAATCATTCGGCCGATAAACAAGGTGCATAGTCCCCGCACCTCTCTCTTCGGCCACGACCTCAGTAAGGGCTTGCACCAAAGTCGCTGCCCGAGAGTTTGCGTTCTCTCAACGAAGAAGAGGCAATTGTGTTAATCTAATCCCGCTTGGAAATGAAAATTGATAGGTCAAGTACCTACACTTTGATACATCAAGCCTGAGCCTGGAGGCACGAAGTGTTGATTAGATCCCAAGCGAAACGCTTGAGCTTCCAGTCGCCTGGAAGTTCAGACGATCAATCGCAAGGTGTGTTGATACGAAATCAATGGCCTGCGAGATATCTGGCAAAGTTAAGGAGAATTCTTGAGGATCCCCCTCTTCCTCAATTGACTCCCTTTCCCTTCTCATCTTCTCAGATTCTGAGAAGGTAAATGATTCGGGATTCAACCGGTTTCGAGAATTTTCTGGTCGTGTGTTTTCACACCGCACCACCTCATAATATCCACAAACTGGGTCGTTCAATGCAACAAACATGGTGCCATCATGCTTGTTGATTATGAGACTCTCTGTTCGGCACAAGAATGATCTTCCAAGAAGCACCTCATGTTTCACTTTCGGTAATATGTAAAAGTACGCTTGCACCTTGACCTTCCCAACAGTGACCATCACTCCACTTGCTGTGCCACAGAACGGAGACGCACCACTGACACCAATCAGAAACCCGCAATCATTGCGATTGATCTGTACACCAGCCTCAATCGCATGCCTTTCTCTCATTACATTAATCTCTGCCCCATCATCCACAAGGGCAGAATATTCATCCAGACCAATTTGAACCTTCATGTGGCCCGTGGCGACGCATCGCCAATCCATCTTTGTCCCTGGAGGAGCCCAGTTAGCCTCCGGAGGAATGATTTCGCTCAACTCAACTGTCATGACCCTTTTCTTGGTCATGCGCTGCTTAAAATCCTCACGGAGTTTTGGCGAAACAACTAAAATTTCCTTGAGAGTAACCAAGTCCCGTTGACTCTCCAAGATCTGATCCACAATTTGTTCGAAATCAATCTTCTTCTCAACCGGGATTGTATACACATTCTTCTTCTTTCGAGGCTCCTCTATTTCCACCTCATCCTTCCCTTTCTCCAAGTTCTTTTCCATAGCTCTTTGCCTCGCCTGTTGCTCGTCTTCTGCCCGTGGCTTCTCATCCTCCTCATCTTCCTCGTCTTCCATCTGAATAGGTTCCTTTTCCTGAGGTCCCCTTGAACTCTCGCCAGGCGCAGGCTGAGATTGTACGGTTTTCCTCCCCTTTCGGGTCTGTACCATTATAACTGGCATCCCTCGCTTAAGCAAAGGTAGGGACATCACCATTGGTCGAACCAATGATGTTGCTCCTGGTGTTGGAGCATTTGCAGAAACTGACCCATCCTGACCCACACTGCTTGATCCCCCAAAGAGGAATACGTTTGGAAGATTGGGCCAAACTTCCTCCATATCAACGCACAGTCGGACAATAGAGTCCCGACACTTGCCCAATCTTTTGGTCACCTCCCGGGCCCGACGAGCAATGTCCTCCTTCTTTTCTTCCAATTTTTCTTCTTTACAATCACAGACTTCTAAGGAAGCCATCGCCTCCTCCAACTCAAAAAGATTGGCCTCTTCTGGCGAGGCTAGTCGGAACGTGGCAGGCAAAGGACGACCCATCCGTCGGAAGGCTTCCTTCCTCATCCCCCCTTCAATGTTGGAATCAATAAGATTCCCCTCGAAGTCAAAGACTTCGCCTCGAATAGTTGTGAAAACAATTTGATCCTTTTCGTCTTTCGCGAGGATTTGGCAGAAACGAACAATGTGGCCTTTCATGTCACAATATTTGCAAACATATTCCTGCCAATTTTTCGCGGCATCTTCCACGGCCTCGACCACCTTGAGGCTGGGCCTGCTGACTTTGGCTCTGTTGTCCCTAGCCAACTTGTCGATCCCCATTTCCATTTCCTCCATCCCTGCTACTTTTTCCCCGTTTTCGAGACGTTCCCTGTCCTCCTCGTATTTGATTCAAGGCCTTCCTCTCGGCCTTGGTCAGCTTTCGAGGAGGCTCTTCCTCCTCCTCCTCGCCATCGTTTCTGACCCCCGAGCCGCCATCCTCAACCACCAATCATCATCATCTTCTAAACCACACCCCCCCCCACCTTCATTTTCTTCTTCTTCTTCTCCTCCTCCTTCGCTTCCACTCTCACTGCTGCTCTCCTCAACAACAGGCTCTTTCCCCTTTCTCTTTCCTTTACTCACCTTGACCGCCAACACTTGGAACTTCAACCGTTCCTCTCTCATATCGACTATCATTTCCTTCATTTTAGCTAAGGTCTTATAGACCTCTTTGTCCTTATCTGCCCCTAAATGCACTCTTTCCCGATCCTCCTTCTGCTGCTTCAGTAGACGATAGAGGATCTGGTCAAAGTTCTCTGCCAACAAGTTCTCCCGTATCTTTGGCCAGTCATATCGCTCCTGCATCCCTTTTACCAATTTTCGTTGTTCCACCTCCGTAAAATTATCCAGGAAGATGAGACAGCGATCCTTATCTGAAAGATCGGGGACTAACCGTACCACCCGCTCATATTCCGTAAGGAATTGCTTCGTCGTACCAAAGCTTCGTCGACTAATCTTTCGCAAGTCAGCCAAATCTAGCAATTGATCCCCCAATTGATACTTTTCTAATAGTTTCTCCTTGAATTTCTTCCAACTTCGTGAATTTTGTACAAATTCTCCCACCTCATCCCTATACTCAACCTTGCAGTACCTCTTCACCATCCGCAACATTTTTTCATCTGACCATTCGTAACAGTTCCCCACCTGTTCGAATTTATCTGGCCACCCCGATGCATTATTCCCATCAAACAGGGGAACATCAACCTTTGGAAAACAAAACCAATCAATAGACAACTTAGGAACGACGCATAATAATCCCGCGAACCGCCGAGACGGACGCGGTTGCGTCGTCCCATCGCCGCTCTAGCCGGGTGCGCCAGCGGTACATCCCGCGGTCCCCTACGACAGGATAGGCTCCCGAGGGGCATAAGCTTACTTCCCTAAGGGGCTTTCACCACCGTTAGGGGCGTATCCCTACCGAGCTACTTACCCACAAGCGAAAGTTTTCATATGCAGTTGCAGAGGTAGGTCAACCGAGGGCGTTTGCTCGTTTCGCTGCAGTATAGGAGATGCTTGGTTAACGCCAGGTGGACCCGGACGTCGTTCGTTCCTTAGGGCGCTGATCTCCTAAGTACGAAACGCACGCCGGTCGACTAGGACGGCTCAACCAAGCGTGAAGTTCGATCCTTAGTCCCTTGGTGATAAAAAAGAAAACACTATACAAAATTACRCAATYTTATTCACTGACTTGATGAGTTGGTCGGTCAAAAGTATTTTCATCCTCAACTTAYATGACTGGAGRCTTTMACATTGTCATTCCSAACTTGTTTAAAAACAAAATTTAGGGAAAGATTTTCCTAGCCTTAATTATTTAACTACATTTCYCTTACATCTCATGCAKCTAGTTCTGGAGGAGCAACGAWATTTTGTTAGTCGTKTTGTCCTCCTRGGTAATAATTACTCTTTCCGTTCCACGAATGATGGAGTATCCATCTTTAGTCYCATTCACTCTCTCGTCTACCATTTTCCAGATGTCTTATTTTCATCCATCCTCGTGTCTTTATGTGGTTGATTATCCCTCAATGCATGACRCATGATAGTGATATCATTGGGGTAATCCGAATACTATCCATCCGGCAGTCCTAACTACCTGATTATTATTAATATTATTATTTATTATTATTTTTTTTTTCCACGTAGAGTCATGTGATCGTGACCCTACGTAAGGACAACTTAACTCGRCACCTGCTTCAAAAGGCATATCTAGCCATGAAAGAGYTGCYGRCCCTCGCASRCCTCGGCCTCGATCTGATCAAGCCGCGCAAGCTCCTCATCGTCAAAAGTCAAAACGGTAGTACGTCCGCCCCGCATAATCCGGACCGTCCGCGTACCATACAGGGAAGCCATCTGTGAGGCTAATCTCTAAACTATGGCGYGGAACGGCTGCCGCATCCTRAAAAGGTGCCTARTTAAGGTGTCCTTAATCTGGACGATGCCGTGGCGCTCTCCAGACTGGGCGATTTTGACACTCACAATGACCCGAGAAAGRCATWGGAGATTGCTCGCACGATGAAAATATAAGGTATATCCGTAAAACTCATTCGGAAGTCGGGCCACATTGGCATGGACATCCGTGCGTGAGTTAGGGAAGAACCCTTGCCCTCCWCCGAGCATGCCAATGAAACCGATCCATCGAGTCGGCGTATCATCTCGAACAAGTAGAAGTTGCCCCGCACRYCGAACCAACTCCYCGTTTRCCTTGTCGCRAACCAKCAAGTATCTTGCTTGAGTAAGATCACGCCGACTGCTCGTCATCTGCACATTCGAAGGAGTCGTCAGTCTCGCAGTTGCTCCCCAATCTCATATACTTCATCRCTAAAGTCGACGACGGAAAACCGCTCRGGGCGAATGACATCAAATCTATTCGCTCAAACCCGTCYYACGTGGTGAATAAGGYTGAAAGGACCCTGATGCTCGTTCAGCCATAACAGGAAATGAAGGAACATCATCCTTATCTCCGAGATATTCTCTCTCACCGGGTCTGTCTCGTGAATYGCAACGAGATTCATATYCCCAAATTCTCRTGACGGTACAGGGGGCGCAAAGCCATATTGCATGATATGYTGTCCMTGTTCTGTCATGAAAATATAACTCCGCGGTGGGTTCCTTACACTTYCGTCCCAAAATCGCGGARKGTCCTGCTCTGAAAAAATCTCAGYCGACTTATAACCCARTCGCCCTTTTCGAAACATGCCATCAGGTGACCGCGTTGGCACCGCCGTCCAACTCATTGCCGCCTCACKCGTGCTAAACAAACGAATGAACACCGCCTGCGTCGGCATCTGTATGATAAGGTTATAASTGTGCCAGGCCGGTTTCATTGCCTTTTACACTTAATCCCTCTTCCCTTGGGCCGTGATTCTTATGTCACGGTCCAACCGCGTGGGTARTGCCTACTCGCACTCCTTTGGCGCTATTTAAAACACGAATTGGGCTTCTTTTGGCTCCAGTTYCCCWWGGGTAGGTGAYTCCTWAGACGGCCACYACTARGGAATGCTAAACAGTCACCCCCTGCGCGAGGATTGAAGAGTCCGCTGTTTTTCCTGCCTAAGGCTACACGCCCAACCCCTAAGAGGTGGTMSGGGATACCCCTTCTCCTCGCCCAGGCCTAAGCCTGGATCTCTGAAGTTGGGCTGGC